TCTGCTACAACTGTTGACAGCAAAGAATTCAGTCAGGTAAGCAAATTCTAGAGGCAAAACGAATTGCTGAAGAAAGTGAAAGAAGACGGTAAACTGTTGATTTTTTATGGGTGAATTATTTTTTCAGTTTCTCCTGTGGATGTAATGACTTTTATTGTTTTCCTTGTGATGTCTGTTCTATTTTCTTTGCCCAGATATCTGGCCCAGAAAAAAGCTGAAAAGGAGGAAGAGAAAAGGGCCAGGGAGAGAATCAGACTGAAACTAGAAGAGGACAAGGTTAATTGTCTGCCATTCCACTTTCCAGGCAGCAACCACTCAATGTCTTCTGTCAATTCAATCAAAATTCGATCTTCCATTTAGGATGCTTCTTCGGTGATGCTTCTAATGAATAGATAGAAGGAAAGTAGCATAAATATTCGAATCCACATTCACTGAAGCAGAGCAGTATACTCACAATAAAAGTTAAATATCCTGATAAGTGAAAAACACAATGACAAGGCCTGTAGTGACTTGTGGTATTCATTTTACCAATGACCATAAATAAATTAAGCTTAATGTCTTTTTTGGATTAATGTAGTCTCCATTCAAATTGTCCCGGTACTTAAAGTCATTATCTGGTATGCCTAACTTTTGCAGGCAGAAAGAAGGCGAATGCTTGGGTTGCCTCCAGTGCGGGATACTGTTATCCAGAATCCCAAGACTGCTATTCAGGACACAAAGGTTGATTTTTCAATTAAACCATGCTCCATACTTACTTTCGTGATTTTCAAACACAAGGTGAAGCTGAATTATTTTGATCTTTGCTTGTACAGCAGAGCTATGATGTTAAGTCTGTTGAAAAGGCTGAACAACTAAGAGAATGTTTAAGGTCTCTCAAGCACAATCACAAGGTAAATTATCAATAGAAGCATATTTTTTGGCTGCTAAAAGACTCATCTCTATAGATGCAAAATTAGATAGATTTACTTGGTAAAGGGAATCTAAGACCTTATGTCAATAAATGATGAAAAGAAGTAGAAATTTGTTAGTAGTGTGGTGCAAATTCAAGGAACAATCATGAAATATTATGGGAATTCTAAAGGAAGTAAAATGGCTGTAAGGACAGCATATGTGTGCTCTTTGCCAGCTTAAAGTGATTGTTTTCTTTACCAGGAACTCTATCCTTCTTTCTGTTTTCTTTTGTTCATGATCTGGTTATAGGATGACGAACTAACAGTCACGAAGGCGTTCCAAACTCTTCTTGTCTATGTTGGCAATGTGGCAAGGAACCCTGATTTGGAAAAGTTCAGGAAGATTAGAATCAGCAACCCGGCGTTCCAGGTAGAGCATGTAGCCAAAAGTATGGCTTTGAAGTTTTAGGAAATGATAAGAGAATAAGAAAAATTATGAGCAGTTTTAACATGCTTCTCATATGATATGGTAACAGAGTAGGGTTGGAAGATTGAGAGGAGGGATCCAGTTCCTTGAACTTTGCGGGTTCGAGATAACTGAAGAGGGAAAGTTCCTGTATCTCCCTCGAGACAAGGTTGACCTGACAGTGCTGAATTCAGCAGGATTAGTCCTGAAGTCTGCATTGACGAATCCTTTCTTTGGACTTCTCTCTCGCACTTCAAACCGTTGTCAAGATACTGTCACTTGACAATCAGGTGTTGGGGCTGGCTAGAAGGAAGCAAAGCTTTTGACTACCTGACTACCGAACCACTAAATCGCAGTAAGAGGAACACAGCCTTAAACATTTTTTTTATGCTGCAGTCCCTCATTTTCTTCCCATCCTTTCCATTTCACAACAAATCCAATTGAAGAATACGAACTTCTGATTTGGACTTCACTCCACTACTGATATTCTTTTGGTTAATATGCATGAACACTGTACAAATAGATTACTTACTTTGGCCTGAACTTTCTTTTTAATGACAAACTGTGTTTATTTCATAAAAAAATCAATCAGTAAAACAGCAAAAAACCTGACAACCCCTTGAATTGGATGCTGCACCAGCACCACCACAGTAGAACTACTCCCAGCATCCGCAACAACAATATGAAAAGCAAGATCACCCCAAATCACCAACCAAGAGAGGCATGCCAATCAAGTGCCAAGACCAAAATGAGTAACCCAACATCCTTAAACAGAAGACATTTTGGAAACTCCAATCACACATCTCACAAATAGTGTTCGCCACCAAAGTTTCATTGTACGGTTCCTTAAAATTGGGACGAGTAGCCTTTTAGTTTAAACTTCACCCGAGGCTAGGGATGGCAATTACCCAATCTATGGGTAATTATAATCAAACCCAAGTAAACTCATTGATAATGGGTTGGATATAAGTGAAGTAATGAAGTGTACATGGGTTTGGGTGAGGTATGGATATTGCTTTCATAATCTAAATGAGTATGGGTTGGATATGGATATCCATTTACTTGAGGGTGCTTCAACTACACATACAAAAATTGGACCTATTTGTAAGACATGAAAAGTTTAGGTACCAAAATGTAAGACCAAAAAAATTTAAGTACTAAAATGTAATTTTCCATTGATATTTTGAGGACTTATATGCAAAAAATTAAAATTAGGTACTAAATATGTATATCTATTAAGTTTAGATACAAAACTGTAATTTGCATTTGGGCATGGGTACAAATCCAAATCCATTTGTAAAAAATCCAACCCAACCCAAGTAAATGGGTATGGCTACAAATGTACATGGGCAACGGGTCGGGCCGCCCATAAGCTAGCACGACACGCCACGGTTAGCGCACGAGCACGACATATATGGGCCGGCCCGGCACAAGCATGAAAAATTTATGGGTCGTGCGGGCCTAAACTTAATGGGCACGAGCACGGGCACGACACAGTACGTAAATGGACTGTGAGTATAAGAACGAACATAACATGAAAATAATATTTATTTGATTAGAAAAAAATATAAAAAGGATTATAGGTCCAAATCTTAAAAAATACAAGTACAATAAAAATTATTTACTGTTATTAGAAGTGATCATAAATATATATCCGTAATTACTATCAAAAGTAAAAATATACGAAGTATTAAACAAAATCAAATCACACCTGCTATAGTTTCAATCCCCCCCCCCCCTATTTGTTACATTCTCGGTTAATACTTTCATTCTCCATCCAATTTGTTCTTTCTTTTTCATTCTCTCTTTTATTTTCTTTCTTTTCATTAAACACGAATATAAGCACGGCACGAGCACGAATAAGCACGACAAGATTCAAAAAAATGTCCGGGCCGAGCCGGGGCTAGCAAAATTAATAAATGGGCTAACACGACACGACACGAAAATTGAAGGACTGTGCCAAACACGACACGAAGTAAGCGGGCACAAAGCTTGCCCGTGCCGTGTCGGCCCAAGCACGGCCCAGCGCCCATGTACAGGTACAAACCCATCAAACTCTACCATATTCATTTATTTTGATTTTATACCCAACCCAATTGAGTTGGATAGTTAAATACCATGAATATGGACAAATTTGCCATCCTTACGGAGACCACCAATAACCATATGATTGTTCACCAACTCCCAAGTTATAGGTATAATATTCCTAGGGATGGCAATGAGTCAGGTTGGATAGGGTTTTGCCAAACCCAAACCCAAATCCATGGGTTTATCCGTGAAAAAAAAACTCGGGGTAAAACCCATTGGGTTTGAAAAACTCAAACCCAACCCAACCCGCTGGGTATCCGTGGGTTCATGGGTACCCACGGGTTTTTGTCGTAAAAAATTTACAATAACATGTTCCTATCAAAATTAAAGTCAAATATAAATCTCTCAATACAAATTATCCATATATAAAACACCATTCTAAAAAATTCAAGCAAATCACAAATTAACTATACAAATTGTTCAACACCAATATAGAAAACTCAAGAAAATTGAAGCAAATCACAAATTATCCATAACTAACATGATTAATTGAAAGCTTCTTCCTTTCAATTAAGTTTGTTCACTCTCCACTCGATAAAATCAACTTCATTCTACACAATTAGAAAGAAAAATTAAACATGTCTTCACAAACATAAATAACATTAGTTGTTTAGAATATTATATATATCGAGAAAATTAATTATATGGGTGTGGGCGGGTACCCATGGGCTGGGTTTACCTAAACCCAAACTCAACCCAACCCGGTGAATAGTGAACGAGTTTAACCCAAACCCGGCCCAAAACCCGTCAACACGGGTTTTATCAAACATGTCCCTCTAATATTTTTTAGAGGGGCATATTATACCTATAACCCTTTCTTTTTTTAGAAACATCCAACTCCCAAGTCCCTATCGGTCTTCATAGTTGGATGATTAATTACATCTCTGATTATTCACCAACTCTTCCCATGAATGATTAAATAAATTCCACAGTTATTGATTAATTACTATTATAATAATTAGATGAGAAGATTAGCCTCAGCTACATGATACAAAGCGAACTAATAATCATATATTATCAAATAAATTTCCCTTATGCTAAGAAAAACTATTTCGAGAAATAAATTCGATGCATGAAAACTAATAATTAACTTTTACCTCACGAAAACTTAAAATCATATGATCTTTGAATGTCGCTAAATGTAAAAATGAATCGAATCAAATATTTACTTAACAAATCCAATTCGTTTACAAAATATTCCAATGTTACATTATGGACTTGATAGCTCATTTCAAAACGAGCAATTTATAGGCAATATTGTGGTAAAAACAAGATCTCATTAACATTTTGGCGACACCATAAGAAGGAACAACTGATCAATGACAAAAGTTTATTAGTTTTTTTTTTCACTCAAACTTCCGATAGCATTTTTATCTACTTTATGATGAGGAACGATGATGAAAAAAAAGTTTATTGAAGCAGGCAATTATATTACATGCATTTTTTTTTTTTTTTGGGGGACTCCTACCACAGTTTTACCTAATACACATTTTTCCAACAAATCGAAAATTACCACTCGGACAAATCTCATAAAAATTATCATCGCTCGCTTCACATCACTCCATCAGCAACCTAGTGAACTCCTGAACTTGGTCATCCTTGAGGTCCAAACAGACACTGAGCCCTCCTTGGCTCTTGGGTCCGGACAGCAGAACCACCAAGCCGGGCTTCGCCCCGATCGGCACCGCGCATTTGGCCGTCCCCCACGAATAAGTCTCCTCATCCAGTGCCAGCCGGAACCACTGCGCCACCGCGAAAGTGTTCTCCCAAGTCGGCGTCCCTCTGTGAACCTCCAGCCAGTCAATCGACGACTTCACATAGTCATCGTCCAGCCTCCCCAGCCCTTCCTGCACTTTCTTCACCAGCAAGGAATCGCTCCCTTCCTTCACCTCCTTCACGGTCAGCCTCGCGTACCCTGGCACCACGGCGTTCCCCGCGAACCCGGCCGGAACCGGGGGCCGGACCATCCTCCGAGTGTCCACGGGGAACATCAGCGTGGTCACGGCCTCGTCGGGAGACATCTTGAGCGCGATGGTCCTCGCCTTCCATATCCTGGCCGCCACGGCCTGGAAGGTGCTACAGTTGTCGACTCCGCCGTCTCCGAGAGCCGATTTCTTGAGGCGGGAGATGTGGTCCCGAGGGATGTAGACCATGTGGGTGTCTGTGTAGTGTGCGTAGCGGGCGTTGAATGGGGAGCTGGCGGTGGCGATTGAGGGTTTGGTGTACTCGTGGTGTGGGTGGTTGATTCGGGGCGGGTCTCTGGCTCGGAACATGGTTCGATCCGGGTTCGGTTCTTTCAGGGTCGCGTCGATGTCTCGGGTCAGGGAGGCCAGGTTGATCTCGAACTCGTGGACCGAGATTCCGTCCAGGACGCAGTGGTTGTAGCTGGAGGCCAGCGCCAGGCTTCCGCATCCGAATCCTGTGAACTGCCCGCGCTCCACGCCAAACAAAACCAAAAAAAGTTCAAAAGAGATGGATTTTAAATAATAAAATAAAAAAATTCGAGCTGTTTTGATTTTTTTGTGGTCGAATATATCCGGACCTGTAAGTAAAGAAGAGGCTTGTTCTGTATGTCTGTTTCGCCCTCCTCGTCGCGCAAAAAAGCAATCAGCGGCTCGTAATCGGGCTTGCGCGCCAGAATCTCGCCGAGTTCGGTCAATTTGGTCTCCGTTTGGGCGATGGCGACCACGACGCCTGCGCCGTTGCAGTCGATCTCCAAGCGGTTGCTGCCGTCGAGAGCAGGGGCCAGTCTGCCGGCGAAGAAGTCGTAGGAGACGAGGAGGCGGCGGAGAGCTGTGTGGAGGGCGCGGCAGGAGTCGGAGAAGCTGATGGGTGTCGGCGGAGGGTCGAAGAATTGGGCGCTCTCCTGGTAACTTACGAGGGAGAGGTCGATTGCGGAGAGGAAAATGCGGCGGCGCTCTGTTTCGCGCTCCGGCTTAACCACCGACTTCTCGATCAGCTTCACGCCCTCCATGTTTTGCCGGTAATGTGAATTTGCCGGCGAGAATTAACGTTTCTCTCTTTTAATCTTTTTTATTTCAATGTCGTTAAGTTGCTGATTGGGAGAGCCCTTGACATTTTTTTTTATTTTATAGGAGGAGAAAGCAGAGGAAGAAGAAAAAGAACAGTTTTCTTGGGGGGGCAATGAAGAGAAACCGAGGGAGCTGATTGTGACTTTGAGTTGTTTGCAATCTATGAATTATGTGAACTGATGAGGAATGGAGTTTCTGGGTTGAAATAACTCCCATCATTTGTGCAAAAATAACTCCTTTGTTCGCATGACAAATTGGCAACAATTATTGGTCTCCTCTTTTGATTTCCATTTAGATATATACCTTAACATCCACAAATAGCGGGTTCATGACACAAATATTGTGTTTTTTTTTTAATTTGTCACAAATATTGCGGATTAAAAAGAATTGACACAAATATTATGTTTTGTAGTAAAGTTTGGGGCGAGGCCACAAGAGACTAAGGCAGGGCCGCGGTTTCTAAATATTTTACCCAGTCCTGGGCGCTGGCTCCCAAGTCTCCAGCGCCCCCGCCTCATCCTCTTTTTTTTTTTAAATCGACGAACGAGGAGGGCCTCTTATCTCTTATCTTGTTCTTATTCCTCCCTCCACCCCCCCCCCCCCGGAACCAGACCAGCGCCTTCCTCACACACGCTGCCGCCCAGGACCTAGGTGTCGACGCCACAGAGCCAGGCGCCGCCGCAGCTGACAGAAGCGCCCCTGCCCGACAGAGATGTCCTCTGACGAAGAACCAGTCGCCGACAGAGGCAGGGGGAGAGGCCGGCCAGGTCGTGGTGGAGTTGGCGGCCGTTTACGCGGTGAGACTCTCGCTGGCGGCGGCCGGAATCTCGCCGGCTGCTTGGATTTTTTTTAATGTTTAGTGTTTTTTTAATTAATGTTTTGTTGCTTTATTTTTGCAGTTCCTAGGCTTATGGACCCTTATTCGATGAGATTACCGTCGGCGACAATTGATCCAAGTCCGGTCGATCCGACACTTCTTTGGGGACAAGCGAGGTAAGTATTTGATAATTATTCATGTAAAGTTAATTAGCTAATTAGATTATTTTAGTTGGTGAATTGAACTGTACTGAAATCAGAATTGGATTACGTATCAAATTTTTTGAAATTAGTATAATTTGAAATTAGATTAGATAGATTAGAATTTATTAGGTGAAATTAGAATTATTACGAATGAAAATGAATTAATATAATTTTTTTGCACTATAGGCTAGTGATCGATCTTACCATGTTCGAGGTACGACCAGTTTAGTGACGTACCATGAGCTTTATCGGCCATATCTCGAAGCGGCAGGCTTGTTAAGTGTCGTGCCCCTAGTCCCTATGAACTCCGATGCGAGTTTGATTACTGCGCTCGTAGAGCGGTGGCGACCCGAGACGTCGACCTTCCATATACCGTTTGGTGAGATAACGATCACGTTAGAGGACGTTGTTACACTGTCCGGTCTAGCGATCGACGGTGATGCCGTCGTAGTTGATATACCGGATGAGGAGTGGTCGACGATCTTTTTGAGACTGTTAGGACGGGTTCCGGCTGATCTTTCAGGCGGTGTCGGTGTCGTTAGGAATGTTTGGCTGAGGGATGAATTCAGTCATCTGCCGGGAAATGCATCACAGGAGGTTATAGAGCAGTTTGCACGAGCTTATGCTCTATCTCTGATAGGAGGTGTACTTTTCCCGGATCGGTCTGGAGCTACGGTGCACCTACAATACCTACTTCTGATTGAGGATTGGCAGAGAGCTGGACGGTTCGCCTGGGGAGCTGCTGTTTTATCCTACATGTACTGTGAGATGGGCAGGTCGACTTTGCACATTACGCATTCCGGCACTTCTCCAGGCGGTGACCTTGATGGATGGGTCGCCCTACTGTAGCTCTGGGCATGGGAGCGATTCCCACATCTGGCACCTCGACATTCAGAGACGAGGGCACAGATTTCCGAGGATGCATCCCCACGTGGTCTTCAATGGCTTTCGGCCAACAGTCGTCAGTATGGTGACCAGCTATTCCAGTACAAGTTGTGGTTTGACGCGATGGACATCGTGGTGGTTAGTATATAACATTCCATTTTATAGAATAGTTTTCATTTGTTTTTTTTTTAGATTTAGGGATAATAACATTAATTTTTTTTTTATGTAGTGGCAACCTTACCTTGAGAGAGCACTTCATCTCAGAGGTAGTGTGATATAGTCTGAGACATTTCGAGCAGTAGTGCCACTTATCTGCTTTTCATCGGTGATGTGGCATCATCCAGACCGCGTGCTCCGGCAGTTTGGCATGAGGCAGCATGAGCCTCATCCGCCATATCCTGATGCTGAGGTTAGGTTTTTCTTCGTCAGACTACTCGTGGGCCATCGCGTGGGCAGCAGTTGGTACACGTCTCCAGAGAGTCGCTTGCTTTCTGGAACCGTCGACACTAGTTCGTAGCGATGGCTCCATACACTGATGAGAAGTTAGCCTACCACTCGGAGCATATGGAGTGGTATAGAGATGTCACCAGGCGTTTTGGCACACAGAGAGGAGCCCCATGAGTATGATGGTAGACCTCCACGTAACAGGGTGCCTGCGAGGTGTGGTACTGGCGGCCATCTAGTGGTGGAGCATGGTGGTCGTCGTGGTGGTCGTCAGTGAGACTATTATGTAGACTATTATTTTTGGATTGTTATTATTATGTACTTCCTTGAGACTATTATGTGGACTATTATTTTTTTATGTTATTATTTTATTAACAATAAAAACCATAACAACTACATACCAAACTACAACAACTTCAAACAACAACTTCTACATGGTTAATCGAAAGAAATACAACAACTACATACCAAACTACAACAACTTCAAACAACAACTTCTACATGGTAAATCGAAAGAAATACAACAACTGCTACATTTGAACAAACTTCTCAGCCACGTCTATTACCTCTACTTCCTCTTCTACCACCTCTCGCACTTCGTTGGCCACCACTCCCTCTTCGGTTGCTCCCACTCCCACTAGCTTGGCCACCGCAGGTTGATGCATTATGTCCCACTTGGTTACAGTTGCTACACACTTGGTGTGATGCACCCTCCCTTGGCCAATCCATCTCGTTGTGAATCCTTGTAACTCGTGGCCTCCCCGGCTTCCTAATCATGTGCACATTAGGATGGAGAATAGGACCATTATACTTCTTCCAACCCTTAGGTTCACCAAGAGGTGCGAAACTTGTCCCATAACAAGCCAACACTGTTTCCAGCTTGTAGACATCGTTTACAAACCTATACGCATTAGCCCCCATTTGGTTGCAAGCTGCAATGGCATGAGAGCAAGGAATTTTATTTCCTTGAAATTTACCACAGGTGCAAAATCCCTCCCGATTTTGGTCGTCAAAGTGCACTGTGAGTGTGTTTGACCCCGTCATGTTGAAATTGTTGGGGGGAGTCTGAACTACATAGATGCCTTGACGTCGATCAAGAGCTGTCACAGAATGTCCAAGTGCCTTTTGTGACCACGACTTCATCAGCTCTTCGCACTTGGTGGAGTACTGTGAAGGACCACTTCTAATTTCTGCTCATGTCTCCAACCTGTACTTATCGAATTTCTCCACCAATCGCCAATAGGTATGTTGCACAAGAGAAGCTATAGGAAGTGCACGAATACCTTTGAAAACACCATTGATGCTTTCTGCCATGTTGGATGTCAGGATAGACCAACGACGCCCACCATTGTAGTTATCATGTGCTAAACTACAACGAATCAGATGTTGATCCACCCAGTTATCACATGAAATATTTCTATCAGTGGCCACCTTCTTAAATTGCTCAACTTGACGATCGAACTTCTCCAACCGTTTTTCTTCGGCTAACAAAATAAACAACCACACGGGTTAGATAAATTCATGACAAAATTACATGAAAATAAATAACAAAATTAAATGAAGAAGGCTTACCGACTCGAAATAGTTGCTTATACATAATTCTGTTTTTAGTCTTCCTTTGCAAATTGCTTGCATAGTGTCGCATGCACCACCTCCACTCCCAACTTCTTTCGATGTTATTCATGGCTTCATAGAGTCCTGCATGTCTATCTGAGATGATGCATACATCATTTCGATCAGTCAAACCCTGAACGTTCCTTATGAACCATGGGCAACTCTCAGTATTCTCGCTCTCCACTATGGCAAATGCAATTGGAAAAATATTCTTCATGCCATCAAATGAGCTCGCCATGAGTAGCACTCCTTTATATTTCCCAGTAAGAAATGTTCCATCAACAACCATGACGCCTGGACAATTCTTGAATCCATCTATACAAGGTCCATAAGCCCAGAATACTCGCTGAAATATCGAGTGGCCTGGTTGAGTCGAAGGAACTCTTACCCAATCAATCACCAATGTTGGCATTTTTCTCTTGACTACCCGCAAGAATGTTTGCAAAAAATCGTAGGATTCTTCCCAATTTCCATGCAACTTCTCCAATGCTCTTTGTTTCCCATACCAAGCCTTCTTGTAAGTAACTTGCATATTAAACTTATCTTTCAACTCGGCCTGCACAGTTAGAACACTCAGATTTGGTTGGGCAAGTACCAAATGTTTGACGGCCTTAGATATCATGTCGACATCAAGATGGAGATGATCCGTCGGTTGATTCTTACTGCTACAAGAATGCACCAACTCAGCCTTTCTCACAGTCCATTCGCCTCCAACATCTCGACATCCAAACCGCACCATCCAAGGACAATTGTCATCCTTTTGCCTCAAGCATCTGACCTTCCAGATTGAAGGTGACGACTCCACCACGCCATATTGAAAGTTGCGTTGTAGTGCGTGGTGTTTAATCGCCATCTGTGCAGCTTGTTTCGAGTGAAATATCTGCCCCTTGTAGAATTCTCCTTCAAAACTATCAACAATAGGCATTGGAATTACGCCATATGAATCAGCAAGTGACAATTCTTCGTCCTCTTCATTACCCTGCAAGTAAAAATATGGAGGATAATTAGGCTGCTCTCCTTTCCCCTTTTCCTCCTCCTCCTCCTCCTCCTCCTCCTCCTCCTCCTCCTCCTCATCTTCCTCCTCTCCGTCATCATAGTCATGATCGGATGGCACGCTCCATGTATCATCTTCTTTCTCTCCACCATGATCCTCACTGAGCTCAACATGTATCTCAGCACCCAAACAATAAGGATTTTGTGCCATAAAATTTCAAAGCACATTCAAGCTATCATCATCCAAAATAGGCATCGCATAATGAAATAAAACACCATTCTGCCATTCTGGAAGACGGTAAGTGAAACCTGTGATCACATCACTATCTTGTACTGCTTCGTCTCTACGCCGTATTCTTGGAATTAAATTCTCACAAAGATAATGATATGTGACCCTGGATGGAACCGTCAACTGAAAACTACTACCACCAACGAATTTGACGCCCAAATTATTCTCTACTTTCTCCGATTTCCACCGAACGACTAGTTCAAATCTTCTAAAATCACTACAAAAAAATAAACTCACTAATTAAAACTAAACACAATCATAATAGCATTTGAATAATATAATTACAAAAATAAATGTGTCTCTTACCTATTAGCCATTTTTGCAGCAGCAACCAGAGCTCTCTCCTCTATCTTGGACGATTTTTTTTGTGGTGTGAAACTGAAACGAAATTGGCTGATTTTTATAGGGGGTGGCCAATAAGCCAGCGGTGCCACCTTAGTCTTGGGCGCCACCGCCTGGGATAATTTCCCCACCAACTCACCTATGTCTCAGGCGGTGCCACCTGAGTCTTGGGCGCCGCCGCTGTCACATTAATAAAACGAACCAAAAAGTCAGCAAAAGTGGCAGCGCCTAAGTCTCAGGTGGTCTCGCCGATTCTTTTCTCCAAAACACAATATCTTTGTCAATACTTTTTAATCCGCCATATTGGTGGTAAATTTTTTTTAAAAAAAACAATATTTGTGTCATTGTCCCACAAATAGCTTAGCACTGTACTAACAATTATTGGTCTCCATCGGCCCGTTCACGATTGAAAAAGAGCATAGTAGAGTTTTGGGATTTTTCTAGAAATAGGATTGTTTAAAAAAAATCTAAAAATTGTATACAATCCCGAATAATTTCAAAAATAGCATCCTTTATCAAAAATCGTCACTCGAACCAGCGGTTTAAACGACAACCGCCACCCGGGGACGCGATTTTTAATTTCAAAAACCTCACGGGTAGGGGACGATTTGGTTGCAAACCGCACCCCCACCCAGCGGTTATGATATATTTTTTTTCCGGACAAATATTATAAGTAGTCTTGGCACAACTGGTTTGGTTGTTTATTGTGTGCAAGAAGTTCTGGGTTCTTATCCCGACCATCCCATTTGAAAATTTTTTATTTAGTAGAGATTCAAAAAAAACAAGTTGTGGAAGTGGTGGTTTGAACCCAGATAATAAATAGTTTACTAAATTTAGCACAACATATGCACCACTCAACTACCACTCTTCTCTTGAAACAATAATATATTGACAAAGTTTTACTCCTTAAACACAAAAAATCCTCAATAACTTTAAACAACCATAACTTTGTACTCCAAAATCCGAACGTTATGAAATTATTTTTTTTCATCTCGCATAACTTTTTAAGGACTACAATTTTTAATAGGAATAAATTTTCAAAACATGAATTATATTTGGATATACAGGGTTTTGGGAATAGCTTACCTTCCCTTTTCACAAATCCACGTACATTTCGAAATTATATATGTGATAAAAGTTGTAGTCCTTAAAAAGTATGCGAAATGAAAAAAAAATCCATGACGTTCGGATTTTGGAGCACAAAGTTATGACCGTCCATATTTTGGCGAAATAAAAAAAAGGCTCTTTCGGAGTAGCAAACGACATTTTTTGGGACGAATGC